CTAAAAAGGAAGGAACTCTTACCATTTGCAACGGCATGGATGGAACTGAAGAGCATTATGCTAAGTGAAGTAAGCCAGTCAATGAAGGAAAAATACCACATGATCTCACTCATTCATGGATAATAGAGACCATTATAAACTTTTGAACAATAATAGATACAGAGGCAGAGCTGCCTCAAACAGATTGTCAAGCTGCAGTGGGAAGGCCGGGGAGGGTTGGGGGGCAGGAGGTAGGGGGGTAAAAAAAAAAGAGTTGCTATCAGGAGTTTGTGCTAAGAGGCCTGATGAAAGAGCTCCTGCCTCCTCCTCTCCCTCCTGCCTGCCTGTTCTTTTGGGTATGGGGGTCGTGATATTTTGAATCAGTCCTGCTTGTGTCCCATTAATCACTTATTTTTTTTCTCAGGAGGATCTGTATCAGAATCTTGAGATCTGAGCTCCTGTATATTAGTGCTACACCCTTAGCCCATTCCTCACAATTTATAAATTCCTTTTCCTACATTTTCAATGCCATTAGAGGCCAGCTGTCTTCAATTAAATAAAAACACTTTTGAAGTAATTTAACACTGAAAGACTGATTAAACCCATGCTATCTTAAAATAAAATAAAAAAAGTTGAGCTCTTCCTAAAGCCTTTTCCACATTCATTATATTAATACTAGAGGCCCAGTGCATGAAAATTCATGCACACAGGGGATACCTCAGCCCAGCCTGTGCCCTTTCACAGTCTGGGACCCTTGGAGGATGCCCACCTGCTGGCTTAGGCCTGCTCCCCGAGAACAGATGATCTAAAAGGAATAATCATATTCTTGGGTAAGGATTTTTTAAAAAGGTAATGGTCACATGAAAATTCACTGCCAGTGGAGCTGAGGGTACTGAGGGACTCTGGTGGCAGGTGTGCGGAGCAGCCGGACCCACCTGGGAGCAGACCTGACTGTGCCACATGCCTGCCACCCCTGGCGGGGCTGAGGGAACTGGGTGCTATCATCTTGTGGCTGTGGGTGCCGCCATTTGTGAGGGCGTGGCGGTCATTTAGCATGTTACCTCTATTATATAGGACTAGTGGCCCAGTGCAAGAAAGTCATGCACATTAAAAGGGAATTAATTAGAGGAAATATTTTAATATTGCTATTTGCCCTTTCTCTCTAATAGAAGTGTCAGAGATTGAGCGAGACCCAGACCCAGCCAGCCCCCTCACCCCCCCCGAATTGGGCGAGAACCAGACCTGGCCGACCCCACCCCCATCAAGACCCAGACCCAGCTGGCCCCACCTCCATTGAGTGAGACCCAGACCTGGACAGCCCCACCCCTGTCAAGCCCCGCTGGGCGGGAGACGCAGTGATTCAGAAGCCTGCCTTTATTTTCTCAGTCACCTGGTGTCCACATTTAGTCTCTTGGACATTTAGTAGGTATTTTCTGGGAGTTAGGTTGGCTTTGGATGATTATCAATTTGTTACTTTAGCTAGTCATAGCCTTTTTTCAGTTATGTGTACAAGCAGACATATGATTATCCATCTCTTTAATACTTTGATTCTTCTGCGTATTTTCTATATTACTTCTAAAATATACTTTATGTTATAATCACAGAGGCAGGGCTAGGGTGAAGAAAGAGGCACATAGGACATAAAATTTAAGGAGACACTCACTCTCAAGGGTTGGGTAAGCCAACCTTGCACTTGAATGACTCTGAAGAGTAAGCACTTCCTTAAATTTTGTGCCCCAGGCACCTCTCTTGCCTCATCCTGGTTCTGGCCCTATATAACCCTGACCAAGGTTGGTTATAGACACCTATATAACAAGACCTTAACGTGAACTCTTTCTAACAACTTTCATTTAGAGAATGCTTTGACTTTACTTCATCTAAGAATACAGAAGTGAAAATCAATGCTATGCCTTTAGTAATTCAGCAGCCCAAAAGTTCCTCCATAAGCAGCATTAGCCAGAATTTTGGACCATTTATCTAGGTTAACCACAGTAGGTCATTGTTTTACCTATCATGACATAGCTTGACATGATTAAAATTTTGGTATGCTTGACTACTGGTCTGACTGATACCATGATATGCAAAACCACCTGACTCTGGAAACAGTTGGTTAGAACATGATAAACCTGTAATCTGCAAAAGGTCAAGCATCTCTTTGTATTGCTGCCAGTTCAGTGGGGGACATATTCTAGCTTATTTAGCTATCTGCTCTTCTGGTCTCTTAGTCTTCACATTGTTCCTGAGAAACATCTTGGTGTGCGCTCCCTCTCTCCCCTTCCTCCATACACTGCCACCAGAATAGCTCTTTTGATTTGTTTGTTTTAAGAACTGGATGGAATTCTCTGTAAAAGGTCTACTTGGAAGGGATTTATTTAGAGAGGAACCAGCAATGCATGTGGAACAGTACTCTACAAGCTAAAATATCCTGAGCCAAAAACACTCTTTTGCATTTTCTGTTCCTCTTACTAGATAGCTTTCCCACCCTCTTAAAAACAAGTTTTCACAATAGCCAAATGTTGGTGTTCAGGATTCTTTACAGAGTAGTAGTTTGTTTTTATTTCATCTTTAAATATTTTCATTCTTTGTTTTTAGATGCCAGTGAGAGCAGGTGCAAGCAGGTGAAGACACAATTTGGAGTTGGCCTGAGATCTGGGGGAGAAAATTACCTCCGCCTTCTTGAAGGAACCTCTTCTCTCCAATCATGTTGGGCTGCCTGCTGCCAGGACTCTGCATGTCATGCCCTTTGGTGGTTAGAAGGGATGTGCATTCAGGCAGACTGCAACAGTCCCCAGAGCTGCCAGACTTTTAGGACAGACTCTTCCAATTCCGTGCTGGTGTTTTTAAAGAAATTCCAAGCTGCAGATGACTTTCTACCTGAAGATGTTGCAACTCATATTCTGGGGCTAGGTTGGAGCAGGGCATCTCAGAGGAGGCAGAGCCTTCCCAGAGCTCCACTCAGACCTGCTGTATCTTCCAGTGACCAACAGAACTTAATCAGGAAGCTTCAGAAGAGAGAGAGTCCCAGTGAAGAAGTTATACCTATAGTGACACAGCGTTCTGAAGTGAATGACTCCAAGGAACTAGGTGATCTGAAAACCAATGGCTCCGAAGAGGTAAGCATATTATGAATAAGGAGCAGAGAATCTGTTAAATCTGTTTTTACATTTGGCACACATAGGTTATGAGACCTGGTGCTTGTGGCCAGTGCTCCTAGGCTGAGGAGTGTATGTATAAAGCTGCTTAGTGCCATCTTTGTGGGTGCTTCCCAGATGAACAAGGGTAATTTGACCTTAGAGATATTCACTCCATGCAAGTCTGACATTGTTTCGATAAAAGCAGAAAGTTGCTCATTATCTAGTCTAAACTGGTTGTTGGCTGCAGATAAGTGCCATTGTGTGGGTGTTAGACTCCACCAACGATTCTGCAGTGATTTCTGCCAGATTGCAAAACACTTGATTGATGTGGTTGCAGTCAAGTTCTCCTCCTCCTTTCCCCCCATCTCCTGCCTGTAAATATATTCCTTATGAGGTCGTTTCTATTCCAGTCTGAAGTAACCAGGGCTGGTAGTGCAGATTAAGACCTGACCTGCTGGGCTAGGGAGCTGGATGTGGCTGTTAGCCAAGAGGTTTCTACAGTGAATTCTCACAAGCTTTGTATGCCAGAGGAGATAATACCACCAGTAGAGTTAATTCCGCTTATTATGTTTCTTCACTGTTGATCTTCCTGGGCAAATTATTAAAAGGAATGACTCACTCCATGCTCAGTCTCCTTTGATTCCTGTGACTTATTTTTGTATTTGTTTTGTCCTAGTTGTCTCTATCAAGTTGAAGCCCGAGTGGGGAGGCAGTACTGCATGCCTGGCACTGTGTGTGCTAATCATTTTACCATGTCATTTTATTTAATTTTCATAGCAATATTTCCAGATAGGTGTTACTAACCCTGCTTTAGTGTTTCAAAGTTTGTCAGGTGAGGAAACTGAGTCCTAAAGTTAAACAGTTTGATCATGCAGCTAATGAATAGCAAACATAGAATTGGAACCCAGATTTAATATTAAGAAAAGAACTTTCAGTGCAGTATTAGAGATATAGACTTAGGCTTAATATGCCTGTAAACATTTATAGACACTTATTATCAATGTCAGGCACTTTTCTAAGTTCTGGAGATGTATAGGTAAACAAGATATGATCTGTTCCCTTAGGAAGTTTACAGTCTAGTGGAGACTCAGACATGAAAATAGATATTTACAATAGTGTATAATTATTGCATTAGTAGAGTTATATACACAATACAATAGGATCACAAAAGAGGAAGTGACCCACTTGAACAGGGAGGTGGTGTGTATGTTCAGAGAACACTTTATAGAGATGTTTAACTTATTTCTCATAGGAAAGTAGGCTTTCACTAAGGGATTAAAGATATTACAAGTATTCTGGACAGAGACACCATGTATGCAAGGCTCAATCTATCAGCAAATATTTATTGCACATTTACTAGAACAGGGTACTATACTAAGCTAGGCACTAGGAATATTATAGTAAATAAGATAAATGTGATTTCTGTCTGAGTAGAGCTTATACTCTGGCAAGGAAGACAGACATTACATCTATAATAATTAGATAATTATAAGTTTGATGTAGGTTGTGAAAGGATAAGTGCAGATTCTTTAAGAGCATCTAGAAGGGACCTAATCAAGACTAAGGGGTAAGGTTAGGCCACTTTAAGAAAGGAAAGTTTAATCTGAGACTTGAAGTAGAAGTAGGAGCTAAGGAAAGAAACAGGCCAAAGGTATTTCAGGCAGAGGGGATAACAATTTCAAAGTTTGTCATGTGGCAAGATTAAGAAGTTGAGAGACACTGGTCTTGTTTGTCCAACAGAGCAAGAAAGCTAGTGGTGCAAGAAAAGACTTGAGAGGTGTGCAGAGCCTCAAGGCCTTCTTAAAATATTGGTCTTTATTTAAGGAGGGAATGGCATGATCAGATAAGTTTCTATGTGTTGAATAGACTGGAGAAGAGCAAGAATGTACATGGAGCTCTTCAAGCAAGGGAACCATTGCATTAAAAAAGGAGGTTGAAGATACAGGAAAGGGGATAAACAACAAATAATCCCTCAGAGCTATGGTCCTCAGACTTCAGTGTGCATCAGAATCACCTAAAGACTTGTTAAACATTGCTGGGCCCCACTTGAGAGTTTGTGATTTAGTAGGCCTAGAGCGAGGCCTAAGAATTTGCATTTGTAAAATGCTGGAGAATGCTGAAACTACTGGTCTCAGAACCATATTTCAGGAACCATTGTCTTCTAGGACAGGGGGGTTAGAATCCAGAGAATGGAACACAAGATTAGCTTTAAGGAGGAGAAAAGACATCCCCTTCATTGTGATAGGAAAGAAGAAATGTATGGATATAAATGCAGCTAAGGTAGATTTTGAGGTTTGGTAGAGAACATTGTGGTGGTTTTAATCTTGTTCCTGTTTTTTTCTGAAGTGGGATAGTTACTGAGAGCAGAAGCAGATAGCTGGGGTGGGGATAGGTGGGTTGAGGCAGGTATATCAGAAGTTTAGAGAGAGTGGTAAAGGTCTGAAATAGCCATTGTGAAGTATAGGAGATGGCAGAATAGGTAAGGAAATAGAAAGATTGCTGGACAGCATTGAAGATGGAGACCATGAATTTACAAGAGTGGTACTGATAGTTTGATTCATCCAAGATTGGAACTTTGCCAGTCTTGTGTAAAAGGAAACTGGGGCATGGAAATTGAGGTTATTGTCAAGAGAGTGGATGAAGAGACAGTGTAAGAAGATAGGAAAAGAAGCAAATATAGGTGCTGACAGAGATATGATAGAAGAGATATACCTGATATTCAAAGGTTTTGCTGATAAAAAGCAGACATATGGGGCACAGGTAAATATGAGTCCTGTAAGGATAGGAGGTAGTAGTCAGGGATATTTGAAGTTAAGATTTAGGACGTGGAGAAGTGCTTACAGGATCTAGGGCAGGGGTGGGCAAACTTTTTGACTCGAGGGCCACAATGGGTTCTTAAACTGGACCGGAGGGCCGGAACAAAAGCATGGATGGAGTGTTTGTGTGAACTAATATAAATTCAAAGAAAACATAC